CCCCCCCCCCACCTTTCTTTTCCATTAGCAAAGGTCCTCCTATTTGGGTAACAGTTGCTTATCTAGCAAGCCTCCAGAGGGTCATAAGTGACCTACAAAATAATCCCCCATTGAATGTAATGCAATTTGAAAATGAGGCTTGTCCAAATTTCTTTTTATTTTTTTTACTTAAAAATGAATTTGCTCATTACTACTGGCAGCATACCTCCATGCGCTAAAACCTCTAAAAGCCCCTGACTGTCCTAAACACATCCATTCCTAACTGCACAGTTATGCAGTTTGTGCCTTCCTTAGTAATAGTGCTATCCCACTTCCAGGATATCAGGTGCACAAATCACCCTCCATGCTATACACCAAGAGGGACAGTCCCTTTAAATGAGGGACAGTCGGGAGGTATAGTCTCACTGAACACCTTAGTGGCAAGTTTTCTTTGAACTATTAAGTTATTCTCGTGAAGTGAGGCCAATTTAGAAAGGAACAGACGATTTGGATGCAGAAATGTACCAGAAAGCATTCCCCTAAAGCTAAAAGTTTTTGTTTGCGAATCAAAAATGCTATGTTATGGCTGATGATGTTGCCCCTCTCTTGTAGGTCCTCCTGTGCCACAGTCCCAACCCTTGAGAACCTGTCTGACAGGAGAAAATGTGACACTCTCGTGCTCCGTATCAGGTGCTAACCCCCCTGCTACAATAACATGGCTGCGTAACCTGAGCATTCCTGAAGTGGAGATCCAACCAGGGAAGAAATACCAGATCGTACAGGACAGTGGCGTCTCTTACCTCACCATTGTGAACTGCTCTCATGATAGTGATGAGGGATATTACATCTGCAAAGGAGAGAACGGGCTTGCCACAAGAGACCTTTTTATATGGCTTTCAGTAAACAGTGAGTGGAATTCAAACTTCCTGTCTTTTTATTAGATTAGAATATCAATATCAATAAAAGGGTAGATAGCATCAAAATTAGGTTGAACATGCAAACAGGGCTGAGTATCCCTTGTACTTTAGACCAATTTTCTATGCACTTCCTTTTTCTTAATAGAGCTTCCCTTTAACCCATGATTATAACTTTTTGTTTGACCTCTTTTTGATTGAAGGAATTTTGGATAGAAAGGCATTCATTGATGCATTGACTGGATTAGCTATTTTAATGTTGGTCAGCTTACAAGGTATAGAGGGCCTCAGCTGTGGCCCATGATATCACTTAGGGGCCATATATAATACTTAGAATATGTAATGTTGCATAAGACTGTCAGGGGCAGAAGATATGCCATAGGAGGTGGTCAGAAATGGTGGATATGCTACAAATGTGGGTGGAGACTGGATACATGCTGCGGGAGACAGTGACTGGGACATGTTACATGAGACTGCTAGAGATTGGATGTATCCCTCTAATTCCCCTGACTAAGTAACTAACCAAGAACTATCGGCAGAACAAAACGTAACCCTTGCAGCGGTGCTATGCAAGGGTTAAGTGCTTGTTTTCGTTTAGGATGTAAAATAAAAAACATATTCATATGAACCTTGGACCCACCTTGCTGCTAGACCGGACCCTGCAGTCTGTCTTCACCTCTGCTCCGGCGATGGAATTTTGCTCGGCGTCTTTACGCCCAATACGCTATATTGTATGTGATGACTCACAGGTTCTTAGAGCACGCGAGTGGAGGGGGAGCAAGGCTGCAGGGCCAGACGGGTCTGAAGTTCAGGTAGGTATATCTTTTTTTATTTTACACCCTAGACCACATGTGTCAAACTCAAAGCCCAGGGGCCGAATCCGGCCCACCAGGCCATTTCCTAGACCTCTACTTTCAGATCTAGGTATTAAGTTATTACTAAAACCAGTGATAATCGAATGCAGAGGCAATTATGATAAAGATTAGATACATTTATATAGTCTTACAGATACCTTTGAGGGCAACCATAATGTTGATGCTGCCCACAGTTAAATTGAGTTTGACACCCCTGCCCTCGACGAAAACGAGCATTTAACCCTTGCAGTGTAGCACCACTGCAAGGGTTGTTTTCTGCTGCCCAGAGTTCTTCTTTAAAGGAGAACTATGAGGCAACCCTTTTGCCCAAGGTTCTCCTTAGGGTTACGGGAGGACATATACTGTGACCTCCAGTGACCGAAAACTCAGTATATACTCCAGCTTCTTCTATAAAGAATTTAGAGAAGAATTGGCCCCGATACTGAGTACAGTATACAACTCCATTTTAGTTGAGTGTACTTTCACACAACAAAAGTAGGAGGCCCATATATCTCTCTTACTTAAAGAAGAAAAAGATCCCATACAATGTTCTAGTTCTAGATCAATTTCTCTAATAAATGTAGACTTAAACATATATGCCAAATTGCTAGCTCTTAGATTGCAACCATAAATTTCATCACTAATACACCTAGATCAGGTAGGTTTTGTCTCAGGTCGGTAGGGGCGAGACAATGCTATTAAGACCTTGTCGTTAATCCAATGGGCCAAATCAAGTACGATCCCTATGTGTTTACTGACTATAGATGCGGAAAAGGCATTTGACCTCCTTGACTGGAGATTTCTTAAGGCATCCCTGGAACAGATAGGGTTACCTTCCCGTTTAGAGGACAGATTATGGCGTTGTACACAACCCCCATTGCCGGGATACGAGTGAATGGACATCTGTCGACTCTGGTACATATCACCAATGGGACCCCTCAGGGATGCCCATTATAACCCTTCCTATATATCCTGGCAATGGAGCAACTGGCCAACACCATACGCATGAATAGGGGAATATGGGGGGTGAGAGAATAGAAGCCATAAATTGAGCCTTTTTGTGCAGGACTTACTTCTTTACATTACAAATCCTAAAATCTTTTTCCTGATGCTCCTGAAAGAAATGGAGATATTTGGGAAATTAACAGGGTTATTCACAAAAGGGTGAAGAGTTTGGAGAAGGCAGGAGAAGTGAACAATCTAAGACAACATAGCTGAAGTGGAAAGTGAGCAAAATTGTAGAATGTTTCCAAATCAGCTATGTTGTCCTAGATCAGGGGTGCCCACAATTTTTAATGAAAAGATCTACTTTTCAAATGACGAGCTACAGGAGATCTACCAACTAAAAAAAACCTCCCTCGCTCTCCCCTGGCTGTCTCTCCTCGCTCTCCTGGCTGTCTCTCCTCGCTCATCCTCCTGGCTGTCTCTCCTCTCTCTCCTGGCTGTCTTTCCTCGCTCTCTCTCTCCTGGCTGTCATTCCTCGTTTTCTCTCCTGTCTGTCTCTCTTCGCTCTCTTGGCTGTCTCTCCTTGCTCTCTCCCATGGCTGTCTCTTCTCTCTCTCTTTCCCGGCTGTCTCTCCCCGCTCTCTCTCCTGGCTCACCTTGCTGTATTTTGCAAACAGTGCAGTGCAACAGGCTGTGTAAACTAATATTCTTTGATGTAATACATAGCACTTTAACCACCAGTACCCACCAGAAAGGTGTCAGGGAGCTTGGCTCAGCAGACTCAGGCTAATAGGTAATCATGTGTGCACAGCTAAATAAATATACCAAAATGGAATTATTATTATTATTATACAGGATTTATATAGCGCCAATAGTTTGCACAGCGCTTTACAATTAAAGGGGCCACCATTCACACCCTTTGTGATCTACCAGCATCAGCTTTGAGAGCTACTGGTAGATCACGATCTACCTAATGGGCACCCCTGGCCTAGATTGATTACTTCTCCTACCTTCTCCAAACTCTTCTCCCTTTTGTGAATAACCCTGTAAGTAATTTTCGGACAAACGTTTCAAAATCAGAATATCTGAATGTATTGCTACACTTAAGCAATAAGACATTTCTACAGGATAACTTTCCATTTAAAATGGCTGATAAAGCTATTAAATACTTGGGGGTGAATATTGCTGTTCAAGAACAAGATGTATTCAAATTAAATTGTATTACTTTTTTGACAAATATGCACCAAAAATTAACATATTGGACCTATAAAAAACATTCTTTGATGGGTAGGAATGTTTTGGTAAAAATGGATATTCTCCCACAATTCTTATACCTGTTTCAAGCGATACCGATTACACCGCCTAGGTCGTACTTTTGTAAGTGGAAGTCGATTACAACTAAATACTTATGACCCCGAATACCCCCTCGATTGTGGTATATATTTTGGTAAAGGATAGACACAAGGGAGGAGTAGGGCTTCCACTGTTAGAATTGTACCATATGGCGGCAGTTTTAAGCAGTTTCATACTGAAATGAAGATATGGGTATTAATTGAACAAGCCGCAACCCTGTTCTCACTTTTTGCCATCCCATGAGTTAATCCAAATAAGCACCCAACTCCACAGACCCTGCTACCCTTGGCCCGCGATCTTTTAAAGATATGTGATATAAGGGAGGGCTCAAAATTTCCACTCACCCCCTCGCAATTTGCGAGTGAAAATTGCGTGGGGGCGAGTGGAAATGAAGCCTCCTCGGGGCGGCTTCTCTCCTGTTCACCGACCTGATGACAGCGCTCCCATGTCCGTCCGTCTAAGCAGGGGGGCGCAGGAGGGAGCGCTGCCTGCTGTCAGGATGGCCAAGCGGTGAGGGGGAGAGAAGCCGCGCCCGCAGCTGTCAGGATGGCCGAGCGGGTTGGAGATCGGTGCTGCTGTCATACTGTCAGTTTCAGGATGACAGCGGCTCTGTGTAGTTGTGCTGTGGCTGTATGTGTAATGCCCAGTGCGTTGTGCTGTGGCTGTATGTGTGTTGTGCTGTTTGCGTGTGGTGCCCTGTGTGTGTTTGTTTGTTTGTGTTATGCAGGGCAACTAGTGGCGAGTAACTTTGAAGGCCTGGCTAGTAGCTCAGGACCTGACATTTTGAGCCCTGATATAAGGTATCATCTTATATGGGGCCACTAACCCCTATTTTAAGTAACCCAGAGTTTCCTCCTGGAATAAACTAACGTCAGTTCTTGAAATGGTAAGAATCAAAACCATCTCCAATCATTCAAACTCTCACAAAAGACGAGTTATCCCCCATAATGCTAATTGGAGATGTAGGGCCACATTCTGGAGGGAGGTGGCTATCATATCTTCAGTTGAAACATTTCTATCTATCATTGAGTGAGAGGAGTAGTGTGACACGAGAATTTACACCATTGGAAGCTGTGTGGAAAGAAAGAAGGCGCTTTGAAAATATCTTTTCTATACCAAATATAACAGGGACATGCATATCCTAAATACCCATATTATACTAAATTATGGGAACAGGAACTGGGACATTCGATTTAATTAGATGAATGGAATTGATCTAACCTTCAAAACGATTAATTCAAGTCAAATACAAGAGCGGAATTTTTAGAATTATAACTAGGTGGTACAGATGCCTGACAATGTTACATAGATGAATCAACAGATACCTAAAGAATGTTGGAGATTTAGGAGCAAAGAAGTGACTATGCTGCATGTATGGTCGTCATGTGACCACATTAGGCCCTTCTGGGAAACTGTATTTAAAATAGGGAATTGGCGGGAGAAAAATTGCCAGAAATACCGGACGTGGCCTTGCTATCAATAACCCCAGGCCCACTAAAAAAGGCAAGGAAGTTTCTCTTTCGACCTATGTTACATACAGCCAGTGCACTGATACCCAGATACTGGAAGTCCCTATTAGTACAACAGATTCGAGAACGGGTATCTGAACTGAACCATACTATGAGAATGGAAGAACTTACATTACACCTACAAGGTCGGAATAGGGAATTTCCTGGAGTCTGGAAACCCTGAATAGAGTTCATAGCCCCTACAGAACTTCGGGATTTGATATAGAAAAGGAAAACGAGAGAGAAATTAGTATCTTGGAAAAAGAGAAGAAAAGGAAGTTCACCTCCTGTTCATTGGGGTCCTTTTTTTTTCTTTTATTTCTTTCTTTGTTGGGAAGGGTCAGGGGCAAGGGG